TCTTGGAGGTGGTTCTGTTGGAGTGGGAAACAAAACAGAATGGATTGCAAGCAACAGAATGGAGGGCAGCTTGTCCTTTCTTTGTTTGACAAAAGATTTGAAAATGGAGCAACAAGGTACATTGTGTGTTAGTCTTGTTTTAACAAAGTTTGGTGGGCCTCAAATATCATCTCATGCACATGGTTTGAGAGCAAGAGTGAATGCTACATAATTTAAATGCATGAACATGCCAAAATGACTTTGAATATGCCTTGCAAAAAATGTTTAAGACACCAACTTTGAGCCAATGTAACTTGGTGCACACAACTCCATTTGCTTAGATCTTGTGCTCAAATGAAAGAGGGAATGAAGTAGAACAAATTTCATGTTGGTGGAAGTTCCATTTGATCATTGGAAGGGCACAAAAATTGGGGTTGAAAAGTATGTCATGCAAGCTGTCCACAAATAACTTGGAAGAAATTCTAAGTTATGCATTTTGCCTTATTTTTCTCAACTTTGCATATCCATAACTTGAGCTTCACAAATCATATTAAGGACTTATTGGACTTTTTGGAAAGCTTGGAACAAACTATACAACTTTCATTTGGGACAAAATTTCATTTTACATCAAGAGCTTGATGGAATTTGGCTTGCAAAATGGTGCAAAAAATTTGTCCAAACTTAACAGTTTTGAAATCATTGAAATTTGCAACTTTGATTGATCATAACTTGAGCTCCAAGTATCATATGAAGGACTTCTAGGAATTTTTGGAAATCTTGAAATACAAGGAACAACTTTGATGTTTGATCCAAGTCCATTTGAAACCTTGATCATGAAGAAAATGGCCTTGAAGATGGTTGCTTCAACCATGAAACTTTCCAAAAATAGAAAGTTTCTAAAACCCTAATTCCCCAAAATGGCAACTTTCAACAACTCTTGATTTTTATGATTCCTTTTACTTCTCTTGATCAAATTCTATCCATTGGTCATTTTGAACTTAGGGAACATGATCTTGACCTCAAAAAGCCAGGAGTTGACTTTTTCACTGCACAATTGACTTTTCCCCCAAATTTCTTGATTTTCAATTAACTGATCAATTGAAACCTTTATGATTAAAACTGATGGTCAAACTCTCATCCTCAAACACCTTAGGACATATGGAAGACCATGGAAACAAGTTTTTCCCCAAGAAATACATTTATCCTGATTAAAAGTAAAACCCTAATTTCATCCTTTTTGCCCAAGCATTGCTTAGATGAACTGAGTGACCATTTCCACTCCACCATGACCTCTGAGGTACTCAACAAACTTCTACCTCATGTTCACACCAATGATAAAACCTTATGGACCCCTTGACAAATTTCTGATAGTTTATACCAGTGCCTTTTCTTGAGCTTGAAGCCAATAAAGACTCTCCTCTTGGATGATATACAAACACAATCACTTGATCCCCTGTAAGAACTATGCTATGCAGATGCAAGATGCTAAAATGCAATGAAACATAAGTCAAAAATTAAGAAAATAGTTTGTTCAAATTTTGGGGTACAAATCTCCATGGTCTGCACTGTATTTCCAAAAACGGCGTGGTTACGATACTTCCAGACTTCGTAGACAGTCTCCGCTATGGCGCTACGCAGGAGGCACTTCCACCAACCCTTACCTTTACACTGAGGCATAATCCAGTTCAGCTCTTCATGCCAATCACAGGGGGTGCGATGAATTCCCACCCATCCCAGAATTTCCTGCCAACAGGTTTGAAACAGGGGACATAGAAAAAACAGATGGTCGATCGTTTCTTCGCTGTTGCAGAATTTACATCTGTCATCTGTAGTAATTCCAAACTTTTTGAGCCGCACCTTAGTCTCCATCCTATGGTGGCATGCCATCCAAAGAGTGAAAAGAGCTCTTGGTCTAGCAATAGTAGTAGAAAACATGTGGTTCCACCCCACACCAAGTTTATCCATTTTGAGGTAGTGGTAGACTTTACCAACGAAGTATTTCACCTTCATATCATCCCAATATTCCATGCCAGTCACGTTGTCTCTATGCCTCAGGATATTTTTGAAAATCCAAGACATACAATGCTTTTTCTGGACCTGCATAAGGCTACTGTATTTGAAGTAAAAGGAATGAATCCACTTTACCCAAAAGGAATCCTTCTTATTACAAAGGTTCCAAAGCAATTTAGCTAAACAGGCTTTGTTCCACTCATACAGATCCAACACATTCAAACCCCCTTTCTCCGAGGCTTACAGACCTTCTTCCAAGCAATAGGGGATTTTATCGACTTCGACTCACTGCCTGTCCATAGGAACATTCTGCATATCGTATTGATAGATTTTATCACATAGTTGGGGAAAGGAAGGCAGTACATCCAGTAGGCTGCCATAGTAGAGATGGCACTGTTAACCAATTGAATTCTACCTGCATAACTCAAAAGCTTAGAACTTCAATGTCGAATCCGGCTAACAATCATATCAACTAAAACCATGTAGTGGTGAGCTGACAGTCTTTTGCTGGTGAGGGGAATCCCTAGGTAGAGAAACGGCATATCACCTTCCATAAAAGAAGTAGATGTCAAGATATCCGTTTTAGTCTCATTATCAACCCCTCCAAAAAACACCTTGCACTTTGTCGGATTCACCACTAAACCAGTGGACTGAGAAAACATATGTAGCTTATCCATGAGCAAATTCACCGATTGGGTATCCCCACAGGAGAAGAGAAGAACATCATCAGCAAAATTGATGTTGATGATTTGCAACTTTTCGCACTTAGCATGAAAATTATAATTTGGAACCTTTCTTAAATGGTGCAGTAAGCGATGTAAATACTCCATAGTTAAGACGAAAAGAAGGGATGAAATAGGGTCCCCTTATCGAAGACCCATTTTTGCCTTCATACTTCTCGTAATGCCACCACCGACCTTAAATTTGTAGGACACCGTAGAGACTGCCAGCATAACCCACTTGGTGAACTTTTAAGGGAAACCCAATTCCTTGAGGATGCACTCAAGAGCATTCCACTCCAATGTATCATAAGCTTTTTGGATGTCAAGTTGCAACAGACATATAGGCGTACTTCCTTTCCGACTGTAGCCTTGGATAAGTTCATAAGCTAGCAAAATATGTTCATGGATGTTCTGCCCAGGAATAAAAGTCGCCTGACTATGGTTGGCAATTCTGGTAAGGACTGAACTCAATCGACTCGTCAATATTTTTGATATGATTTTGTAGATAGTGATGCATCAAGATATAGGTCTGATGTCCTTCACAGAATTCCCATCATTTCCTTTGGGAACTAGAGAGACAAGAGTGCAGTTGATAGCTGGATACATATTGAAGTTGTTGAAAAAAATCCATAGCAGCAGTAGTAGTATCCTCCTTAATGGTACTTCAAGATGCTTTAAAAATTTTGGCCCCAAACCCATCAATACCAGGGGCTTTCAAGTCACCAATATCATTGAGAGCCCTACTAATATCAACATCAGTTATGGGACAGTCCAGCATGGCTCTCTGCTCCCCAGTAATTTGTGGGCCATCCCTCATGGCAGTAATGTTGATACCTTCTAATTCACCATTAGAACTCCCCATGAGGTTACCATAAAAAGACAGCACCTCATTTTCAATTTCCTCAATGGTGTTAAGGATGTCACCAGCCATATTACACATACCAGAAATGTTGCTATTGTTCTGCCTGTTTTTAACTTGGGCATGAAAGTAATTGTTGTTTCCATCTCCCAATCTGAGCCAACTGATTTTGGATCTTTGGCTAAGAACCTGCTCCTCAATTTCACTCCAATAGACAACCTCATCATATCTATCCTTAACTAATTGAATCACTTCAGGGTTATCAAGATTGTCCCTAAGCTGCACTTGGGCTTCCATCAACTTCTGTCTAGCCTGTTTGAGAGAAGAGGTGGCACCAACCAAAGGCTTGCTGAGATTTTTCACAACACCTTAAGTTCTAAGCAGTTTCCTCCACAACACAAACATATGACTCCAATGTATAGGGGCATTCCAACTTCTAGCTATATACTCCTGATAACCCTGAACTTCAGTCACACAATTTAGGAACTTGAATCGGGAGGTTCTATGCACAACAGTATCAGGTTTAGTAAGCAGCAACAAAGCATGGCCAGAGATACCAGGTGGAAGTGCCTAAATAGACAAATTGATATATTTTTGAAACCATTCTGTGTTGGCCATACCATGATCAATTCTAGAGTGTATAATGTTTTCACCTTGCCGATTGGATCAAGTATAGAAATCACCAATAGTATCCATTTCACTAAGGTTACACTTGTTCATCATATCATTAATGCCTTTGTATTCTTTCACTTGCACCATGGATCCACCTTTTCTATCAGCTGTACGAATTACATTGTTAAAATCACCAACAATAAGCCACAGCCCCTGTTGGTTCTGATGAATGTACTCAATCTCATTCCACAACTCTGTACAATGGTCCAGTCTGTTAGCACCATACACAGCTGTAAGCCAGAACTGGAACACCCCATTCATATCATAGACTCCACAGTGCCCAGAGCTAGTAACCTTCCTTACTTCAGTTTTGGCATTGTTCCACCAGATCCAGATTCTACCATTCACATGGTTAGTATAGTTGTCCAAAAAACTACCTTTAATCCTCAATTTACATCTAATTCTGTCAGCTTTTTCCTGCTTCACTCTGGTTTCAAGCAAAATGCAGATCATAGGGTTAAGAGAACGGAGGCGGGAGCTAACCTCTTTAGTCTTAACCATCTTATTCAGGCCCCTCACATTCCATGAAACTAACATGGGGCGTTAAGGTTGCTAGCAGGATCATTCAAAATCCCTAGCATCCCAAATCCATTTTGGCATTGGATAGGCCCCTCCTCATTGGCTGGTCCTTTCCCTTTCCCTTTACTGCTACTAGTGATCATCGTCCATGCCTCATTCTCCGACTGTTGTATCTCTGCAGTTGGTATGGCTTGTCTTGGTGTAACACTTGAACTAGTCTTATCTTTCTCATTCTCCTTTTATGGTTGCACTTGGCCCTTCACCCTCCATTCTTTAGTTAGTTTTGCAGGCTTAGCACATTTATGCCCCACTTTATGGCATCGTTGGCAGTATAAAGGTTTCCACTCGTACTCAATAAGTTGTTTCATTCGCACACCCTTCTCATCTCTGATTAGGATTTCTGTTTTTAACTCTTGTGTAACATCAACTTCCACAAGGATTCGTGCATAGGAGACCCTGGGTTTATTTGTCGTACATTCATCAGTCACCAGAGGAGTTCCTATTTCACTTCCTATTTTACTAAGGCTTCGTGCCCCCCAAAGATGAAGGGGAAGTTGGGGTAGCTTCACCCATAACGATATTGTTCTTAGCATATCCTTGTTCATACTAAAATCAGGTTTCCATTCACGCAGTATCATCGGTCTATTACGGATTGAGTATGGCCCCTTCATCAGAACTAATTCCTTATCATGGAATGAGTGGAAACTAAGAATGAAAAAACCTTCCTCATTGTAGAACATCTCAGGTAGTGTCACAAAGTTCCAGGTTCTGCTCATGAACTGTTTCACCGTGTTCATACTTAGGTCAACACCCAAGGCATACATAATGAGAGCAGATTCCCATAATTTAACTTCTGCTTCAACATCCGCTTCTTCAATCTGAATTTCCACTTCTCCATCAACAATCTTTGGTGCAACAAATTCCATGGTGAGTCCCTTCGCCGGGTTACGGTTTTCATTGATAATGTCGACCTAGAGCTTCTTTGGTTGGCTCACTTCCACCCCCTTCTTGGCTTCTTCAGTAATCACTTGATTTAGGGTTTCGGTATCAGTTGTCCCTGCTTCCTCCCCCGACTGGCTTTCGCACTCCAAATTGGCAGCTTGCAATTCGTCAATCCCATAGTGATCCTTATTCGCAGTATTCTGGTCAGTCACCGTTGGATTGGTGGTTGACGGTGGCACCAAACGTGGCCGCCCTCGCCCTCTCCCTCTCCCACGAGCCATATTAAAAATAGCTGCAACAACTTTTAATTCTATTGCTTCTCCATTTTATATAGTGTTATATACTTACAAGAATTGTACATCCACGTAATAATTTAATTCCTATAAAAATAAAAACAATTTTTGGCTTCTTAATAAAAATTATAACATTGTCACTACTTAAATTACTAAATAGATAATCAATTATGTAACCACAATTATAAAGATACAATTATTTTATTTTTCTTATACTAATTATAATTTTTATTTTTCATATCTATCTATTTTTGGTCTCAATCAATATTTTTCTAAAAAAAAATACATTCTTTAATATTTTACTCGATAAAAAATTATGCATAAAATGGTTTAATAAAAAAACCATTCGCTTGTATCGGTTTTAAAACTATAATAACAAAAAAAAAAAATCATATTACAATCTTTAAAATTAAATAAAATGGTCAAACAATACGTCTAAATAAAAAAAATACTTCAATATTCTTTTTAAATTATAATTCTTATTTATAAATGCGGTTATATGTTATAAAAGTTAACTTCAAATATTAAATCTCATTATAATACTAAAAAATTATCAAATATTTCTTTCAAATTTAACTTATATAACTTTCAAGTAAATAAATATTTTAAATTGTTTATAATATATTATTTTAAATTATAATTGCAGTGACATATTACAAAATTAAACGATATATTTTCAGCTATAATTTATAATTCATTATGTAACAATGTTCGATGATGTATTATTAAATTATAAATACGTGAAATTGAAAGGTAACTCAATTAAATTAAATGAATTGTAAATGTTAAAAAAATAATTGTAGATATTTATTACAAAATTAAATCATATATTTTCAATTATAGATTATAATTTATTATATAACAATGTCCTATAATGTATTATTAAATTATAAATAATTGAAATTAAAAGATAATTCGATTGAATTAAATCAATTGTATATGTTAAAAGAATAATTGCAAATACATATTATAAAATTAAACTATATATTTTTAACTATAATTTATAATTCATTATTAATGTATTATAAATATTAAAAATTAATGATAAAATAAAATTTAAATTATATATTATATTTAAAAAAATTCATCTAAATCCCGCGCATCGGGCTAGTTTATCATCTATTTATATATTGGTATGGATACCAATGCATGCACACCAAACCCGCTGCGGTTACACTTGTGGCATCACGTTTTTAGTCCTTGTTTAATACAGTTTTTTTTTCTTTTTTCTTTTTAATATAGTAGCCTTAGTTAGGAAAAATAGACATTAGTTTATTAGCTTTTCTTTTTAACCATGAGGTTCATTTAGAAAAATAATACATTAGGTTTAGTTTAGAAAAATAATACTTTGGTTTACTTAAGAAAATATATACTTTAATTTTAGTTAAAATAACAATTTAGTCTTAAGCTTAGAATGAACATTCATTATCTTAATTAGAAATTAATTAATTTAGCTTAATTAGAAATTAATTTAGTTTAATAGAAAATTAATTCATTATCTTAGTTAGAAATTAATTCATTTAGCTTAATTAAAGATTCACTTAACTTAATTAGAAAGTAATTCATTTTGCTTAGAAAATTAATTCGTTATCTTAGTTAGAAATTAACTAATTTAGCTTAATTAAAAATTCACTTAGCTTAATTAGAAATTAATTTATTTTGCTTAAAAAACTAATTCATTATCTTAGTTAGAAATTAATTCGTTTAGCTTAGTTAGAAATTCACTTAGCTTATTTAAAAATTAATTTATTTTGTTTAGAAAATTAATTCATTATCGTAGTTAGAAATTAATTCATTTAGCTTAATTAAAGATTCACTTAGCTTAATTAGAAATTAATTTATTTTGCTTAGAAAATTAATATATTAGCTTAGGTAAATAATAATTCACCTTACTCTTTAATTAGCAATTTAGTTAGGATTAATTTTAGAATTAACTTTTCATTAAATCTCCTTAGAATTAATTGCTTTTACATCCATTTTTTATTACACTTTGGTGCATGAATTATAATTGTGAATATGTTTGGTTTCTACCATGGCCACTTGATTGAATTTAGGGCATGATTAACCATTGTGTGTTTGTATGTTTCTTTTTCCATTCTTGTATGGTGTATGGTGATTCATCCCTCCATTGTGGAAAAAATGTCCCCCATTCCCATGACAATGTAGTAGCGTAGGAATCTTTATTTATCGCTTTATATTTATATACTTGTATGCTTGCATGTTAATAGGTTAGAAAAGATAAAAAGAAAAAACGCTTAGAAAACGTTTTCGAAACAAAGATAAAAACAAGTTGTCAACTCATTCAAAAAAACAAATAAATTGAATCTCAGTGTTCACACACATCACTTTAGGGTTTCCCTCTTCTCCCCTCCTCCATCCAAAACTCCATTTCATTCCACTTAACCAAACAAGCCTTGTATGTACGCACCTTGTAAGTCGATTTCCTTGCGCATCACCATTAACCTACCCTAATTCAATCCATCACTCTTTCCACCACATTCCATCCACCTTTTCCATAATAAGACTCAAACTTCTCCAAAAAAATAATTAACCCAAACAAGAGTTTAACCCGGTTCTCTTAGGGTGAATATGAGTGGTTAGGATATCATTGGCCCCTCAACTCTCGTGTATTTGATTATGGATCGTACTTAACCTATGGTTGGATACTCTTTCCTCTCTCTATGTACCTACGATTAGACTCTTCAAAAGCAAACAACTTTCACCATTCCTTTACCTTAGGACCTCACTTATAAAACCGTCCAAAAAAGGCATATTACCTATGTTTTACCGCAATACAAACTGCGCTAAAGCCTCTCATGCACGGGCATACAAGCTACGTTTAACTTCTAGAATGTTTAACTGCTAGAACGCAAACGTTAACCTCGCCCACCAAAATAACCTTCCACCAATTCACCCGTAATCCTTCGAACTACGATGAGTCTGACTTTCCCATTGCACGAGGAAATACGTAGGCATAGGATTGCGAGATCCTATCGAGTCCCTTTTTTTCCAACCCGTCACGTTCCTTTTGGCAAGTAAACCTTAGATAACGACACTCATTCACGCATAGACTACCTAGATGGTTCCCGTCGAGTACGATGGATGTGAGGGAGTGTTAATATCTTCCCCTTGAATAATTGACTTCCAAACCCATATCTTGGTCGTGAGACCATCTTTTTCCCTAGGTTTTCTTGATGTTTTTCTTTCCATCCCTTGGGATAAATAATGTTAGATGGCGACTTCTCTTATTTTTTACGTAGCGCCACACATGCCCCTGTCCTCCTGTTCAGATATGTTCTTTTAAAGAAAAATATGACCTAACCAGATCCATCTATGCTAATGATGTTCAGATCTTCTTCTACAACAACAATCACATTCAAGACATAACTCTTGAGTTAAGACCTCAGAATCCTGCAGACCATATGTGCCTTCAAGAATGATCTTGAGAAATTCCTAATCATTTTTGATCATCACACATGTGTTTAACAAGATGGGCACGTTAGTATCAACACCATAGAGTCTTTCAGAGCAACAACAACCAGCTCATACTCTTCCTTACTAGGAACAATCCATACACACCCTTTGATGATAAATTACCAAGAGCTGTTGACCATTGATCTCAAGAGAGCTACCAAGCTAGCCTTCAAATGATCATACAGTACCAAAAAAATAATATTCTTGAAGCTCACCTAAAAACTGACTAGGGTGCTAGCTCTGATGCCAATTGAAATTCTGACATTCTAACACATGTTAATACTGATGTCCTTACATCAGAGCATAATGTCAAGACAAATGTTACAACATCTTCTATCTAACAGAACAATTAAACCAGACTGAAACTAAATTGAAAAAAATATAAATAACACAGTCAATTGGTAACCCAGTTCGGTGCAATATCACCTACATCTGGGGGCATCCAAGCCAGGAAGGAAATTCACTATGATATCATTAGTTTAAAGCTAAACTCCCACATTTACAACTTCTCGCCTAATCACTACCTTGTGCAACTTCTACCTAGAAACCCTCTAGATAGGAGATCCCCCTTTCCCTTTCTAATTAGTCATAATCTCAGTGACAATACCTCAAGAAACCAAAAAGAATAAGAGCATTCTTCTAACTAAAATACTTAGTTTTTCTTACAAGCTTCAACTAAGAACAGTGCACTCTTACTTAAAAGATTTAGAGTGGACATTTAACAATATACAATCAGTTTACCTCAATGTATCAAAATATACAAGGGCGACATACAAAGTTACACTAAAGATACTTTCAAAACCTAAGATTCTAAATCCTCCCCTTATTTTTACAAAAGTGAAAATTGTATCTTCATTAGGTTTAGGTTTCTCTTTAAATACTCCTCAGTAGTCCACGGGGTCCGAAATCTTCACCCAGATATTGCTCGATCCACACGATGAGGGTTGCATCAATTATGCAGAAAAGTCTCCTTAAATATTGGAACAAATCATCAAGTTTCATAAACTGTCTCAACATCCAATTTTAGAAACTTATGAACAGTTGGAGATAAAATCAGATGTTCCAGATTAAATCTTCTTGACCTGCAAAAATAAGTGAGATATACCCAAATAAAATCTCACAAAATCAAATCAAATCTGTTAAGAATAAAACTACAGCCTATACTGATGTTCTGGTACAACATGTCACAACATCTGTCAGAACATCTGTCTTCAATGTTGATAGACCAAAAAGTTAGAACATTTCTCACAAAATTTTATTGTGAACCATGTTTTAGCAAAATTGCTGTCAATCTTAAAACCATGGATCTAACCGTTTTTGTGTTGAAGATTTAGATGCATTATATCTATGGTTCATGATATGAGGTATATAGTGATTATAAGAGCTTGAAGTATTTGTTTGATTAGAAAGACTTGAATATGAGACAGAGAAGATGGTTAGAATTCTTGAAGGATTATAACTTTGGATTGAATTATCATCACGGTAAAGCTAATGCCGTGGATGATGCTTTGAGT